AGAAGGCCCATGACTCAAATTGCTAGCATACATTACACTTTGATGGGTTGTCAATTTCTAGGCAGCCCAAGTTGTCCTTATTGAAACTATATGAAGAGCCCATTTGTTTCTATTTTTATAATAAAAATAAATTTTGGAATAGTAGAATGATGGAGAATCTGTGGTTAAAAATATAAAAAAAAATTGGATTTACGTGTAATATTATTTTATTGAAGAATGTGTGATTAAAAAGAAGAAAGAGAAAAATGCATTTTGAGAAAAATGTATATCAAACATGAGCTAAACAAATATCTTAATTGAGTGTTTTTTTTTTTTTTTTACTATAAGAATGTCAATGTCTTAACCGCTCTAAGAAGATAAACAAAAAAATAAAAATCCCTAGCATGATTGTTATCCCTGCACCAAAACACAAACCCTGTTATCTAAATCTTATCCAACTTAACATCCTTGATGTTATTGTCAAAAACAGGAAAAATTATCAAATGGGGACAGACAATCTCAACAAATTATTAAATAATTAATATTTTAAACACATTAGTTCAGCAGACACGACAACTAGCAAATACAATGAGAATCACATGGTTCCACTGGCAACTGCCCACGTTGACTATCAGACATTATTAAATTTTTTCTTAAAAGTCAGTTTTCGCTCTTTTTGAAAAATAAAATAATTGCTAAGGATATGTTATATCATATGCGTTAGGTGAAAAGAATTATAAATGTGCCCCACCGACCTTATCCTCACGACATTCAATATAAAAAAAAAACAAAAAAAATTTGAACCCTAATTTTGAAAGTCCCCACTGCCCCATCTCTAGAGCTTTGTGAGGGAGGTAAATCGCGAGATGTGTCACAACAGATCAAGAAACAAGAACTATCTATACACTATACCTACAAACATTCAATATCAATATACTGAAGAGAAGAGAAGGTTAAAAAATTGATCGAATAAAAAAGAAATAAGTTGATGTGTCCTATTCGAAATGTCACCATTAGAGACGTTTTCAATGAATAGAAAATGAAGAATATATTTTGTCGTGAACTAAATTATGTAGGTAAAGACGATTGGATTATTAATAAAAATTCGATAAGACAATTAATAATTTGATTATGACATTTTTTTGAAATTTGATGAATTGAAAAAAGAAAAGAATTATTTTATTTTTATTTTTTTTTTATTGCAAAACCGGATCAATGAAGAATATTCAACATTTATAAACTCCGTAAAATAGATTACATTATCTATTGATTAGAAAGTTTAAGAAAATCTTGATTTAAATATTTAAAATGATTTGCATATTTGATTCAGAGCCCCCCATTCCACCCCACCCAACCCCCCTTTCTCAAAATTAGAATTTCGAAATCTTATACATGTGAAGTTAAACAAGATAAGTTTCTTGACCGGGAAAAAAGTTTTGATTTTCCAGTAAATATAGGTTGTCTACATAAAAAAATAAATAAATAAATAAATTCTAGCTTCATCTATAAAAAAAAAAAAAAAAATATGGATACAATCAGAAATTTTCGAGCGACAGCAAATAATGTCAGATTTTATATGCTTTTTCACCTACATACTGAAAATCACATCATTCTTTTGAATGTAACGATTTAAAAAAAAAAAAAAAAAGGAAAAATTCCCTTAAGTTGCGTTTAATTATCACATACATGTCAATGTATCGCGACAAGAATAAGCTTATGGAATCTACAGGCTGAAGAGTGAAGCGTAACTATTTAACTTTTTATTTTACTCTTCGTCTCCTTTGTTGTGTGTGTGTGTGTATATTGTTTTCGAAAAACACATCATATAGATTTATTTATTTATTTATTTATTTATTTATTTATTTTTGAGAAAAATCAAAAGTCGTCTTTTAACTTCTTCAAGTGGGAACCATTTTTTATATTAGTGAAATTTTTTAATGTAAGAAATTTTGTACGTAGAGATTTCAATCATCAGTGGAATTAAATAAGGTAGCATGGTGCATTAAAAACCCTGAATTAAATGTGGGTAGCTAGTAATAAAGATTGTAGAGGTCTTAATAATACTATGTAGTCTCATTAGGTTGCAATCCCAATTTAAATGACACTGGATGATTGATTAAATGAAAAGATGAAATTCATTTAATTTCTACTTATCAATTAATGTCACATTAATGTCACTTAAATAACGTTACTCCTTGAATAAATGCGATAATAATGTTTACTCCATTTGAACAAAATTTAATATATTGCATAGGCCACTTGCAACAAGCCACGCTTCACAATTTATAACCAGTCTACTGCTCCTTGAAATAGCGTCACTCCTTGAATAAAGGTGGCAATAATGTATACTCCATTTGAGCAAAATTTTAAATATTGCATAGGCCACTTGCAACAAGCAACGCTTCACAATTTATAATCAATCTACTGCTTCTTGACATCAGTTTTTCTAAATAAAATGTTACCACATTTTTTGGAAATAATAAATGCTATATCATTAAGCAATTACAAACCTTTTTTTTTTTTTTTCAATTTTCAAATAAAAAATAACTTGATTTTAACATTTTTTAGAAATTGTTTCCATTAAAATGAGGGATGGCCAAAAAAATCGTCAAATTCGACATCTACAGGGCTTCGTTCCGTACGAGTAACAGGGGGGCCACCCCCGTACGGGTTATAGGGGTCAGCACCACCCCATTTCGTTTTAATTTTTTAAAAAAGAATTCAATACTTTAAATGAAAAATTTCACGAAATTTCATTAATTTTAATAGAATATGAAAACTAATATTATCTAAAAAAAAATATGATAAATAATAAAAATATTACTTTATGAAATATATTTGAATAATTTAAATTTTGAAGATAAATTGATTAAAAAATTCAATAACTATATGATTATCTTACTTTAATGAATGGAGACAATAAAATGAATTAAAAAAATTAAATGGGTACGTAAACTGGACAAGGTCCTTGCCCCGCTTCGGTCCACTTTAAACGGATAACAAGACGGGTACAAGGCAGGAAAATGCCTGAAGGGATGGAGGGCGTGAAACCCAACCCATTCCATTGCCATCCCTAATTATAATTTTACATTTTTCCAAACTATATTTATGCTTTTCTTCTTGTGATTTTATCCTAAACAATAAGCATATTAGAATTTGGGTGATGTTATTTTGGAAATGGTATGGATCTCTCCAATTTTATTTGTTCAATTACTTGCTAGTATTTTTGAGTTACTCTCTTCCATTCCAACAAAGAAACAATATACTTCTGGTTGCTTTAGTTGAATAAAAAACCAAGATGAACCATAAAAATTAAGACATGGTCAATAGCACAAAATAACATCACCCAAATTCTAGAGAAAAGAATATATAAGACCTGCAAAAGGAGAGAAATTAACAGTGATTAGTATAGAGAATAAGGGGAAATAGAATTGGATGAAAATTCCTTTGTTTAAATTGGTCAAAATTTTCCTTTTTTTCATTTTTGAGATCAAATGACGGTGGAACTAACTTTTTCTGTAATTTTGGACAGCATTTGCAAATTTCTCAAAAATCTGGGACTTGTGCTGACACAAATTGAAAGTTGAGGTAAAGTCTGAAAAAGCATAGAAGTTTGGAAACATGGCTGCAATTTTCCCTAGAATCTATAATGAGCAAGTGGAATTGACAAGTGATGAAAGGGCCCTCGTGCTAGATATAGAACTATTCAATCTAAAAAGAATAACAGGGCCCTCGTCCTAGGTATAGAATCATTCAATCAAAAAAGAATAAATCATCTACATGCCATGGAAGAATCCGATGTTTTTAGAAGCTTTGGATTAGGATGAAATTATTGTTAATTTTTTTTATATAACCTTGACTTTTATGGACACGTGAAAATGTTGGTTTATTTATATGCTAGATGTTTTTATTAGTTGGATGATTTTTACTTTTTATCATTTCGAAAGAACAATTTAAATTTCAGATGAGTCCATCATTCAACAAGTTATCTGAGTGACAGAGTCATCGCCTGACACTATCCAAAGCAACACAAAGAGTCGATTTGGTTTCGATTTTCTTTTCTTAACACTTTATGTACGTGGCATCTAGACTTGATTATTTGATAGACGTAAGAAATGTTTTTGCTTTAATGTTCATTATGAATCCAATATTAATTTTATTAATGGGTTAGAGTACATAGATTGAAAGAAATTGAGATGATTGACGTATATAATGGTTTCTTTAGGAAAGCATGCCTTTGTTCCGTAGCCTTTTTCGTGAAAATGAGAATTTAAAGCTTAGATTTAAATTAATATTTCTTAGTGATAAATGTTGGTGGTTTAGACTTCATATTACCTCATTTTGAAACCATAAATCAATTCATATAAAAGGTGCCAATTTTGATGGTACTTGATATCGTATTATCAAATTTTCCACATTTAAATTAATATCACAAGTTGGCACCTGTCAACTCAACAGTATTTCAAGAAATTAAACCTAATTCTGGTTTCTTTTTCCCCATAAGATTCCAGATTAAATTAAACAATCAACTAGTTATTATTTATAAATAGAATCATTTTGTCTTTAATTCAACCTCTAAAGTTTTTTCAATCGAATCAGATAATTTTAAAAATGATTGCCTCGCTCTTTTATGTGAAAGCACAAAATTTTGTGACACTAAACTATACTTCCGATCATAAGTCAAGTTTGAATATACCTTTAATCGCATAATATCTATAAAATAAAATATAAAAACTTTGCACTTGAATTGATCCTGTTTGGAAAGAATAACACGAGTGATCTCTCCCATTTTCCCAATTTATTTCCAGTATAATTAGGGCCCACTTTGCCAAGATAAATTAATCGCATTCAATAAATAAGCTTACCTACTTTTCGATCAAAATCTATCGCAGATTTGATTCAATTACGAACACAATGATCTTACTTTTATGTATAATTTTAATGAATCTTGTAATCTTTGTCGGTTTAATTTTCATATAATTTTGAAAATACATGTTTAACTATTGTCACTGGTAAATAAATGGAGATTTAATTAAACTAATTTATTTTCACTGAATTTAGAGTCAACAAATCAAGTACCAACAACTGGCAATCGAATGGTGCAAAGTGCAACCATCGCTTAAATTCGAAGACACTAACACAGAAAATCACACTAGGACGGGAAATTAACAACCTGAACATGGCGAATTTTCATTACATGCAAGATGCAATGAAAATCTTATTTGTACGATTCATTGAGAAAACAAGAACAACAGCGCCAGATGATTGCACTTCAAACCTCAACTCGATTTTGTAGCAGGAGCCTCAATGATCTTGATACCACCAATGGTAATACCACCTCCGTGATGTCTTGGCACCAATGTCACAAGAACTGTGTCATCGTCCTCAATATCCATGTCGTCGTAAAGATCAGTGAGTTTCAACCTGATAGAAGTCTTGTTCGCCTTTTTATTAGTTTTATGCGGCACTTGCGCATAGGTTCCTGCATAAGAAGCCTTGTCCAATTCATTGATGTTATCATCTTCATCATTCACAAACACATCAACCTTAAGGAATTTTGTAGTGTCAACTTCAATGTTTTCAAGCACCAGCAGTTCATCAGCTTTACCCTTCTTGGCTTTAGGAACCTGGACTCGAATAATTTTGTCCAAAGTGACAGGGAATACGGTGCTTGCCAATGGTGCATCGGAAGTAGTCTTTATCACCCTGGCTCTTGCAGTCTGTGGGGGTGGCCTGTAATCCAGCCATGGAAGATCAATTCTTTCATAATCAAATCCCATTCTCAGATTGTCCAAGCAGTCCTTCACTGTCACGCGTACAAGCTGCTTATTTTCATCGTAGAACAAAAATGCAGCATTTAAGAAATCTGGGTCTGTGATTTTCTTGTCTGGGACTTTATTGCTTGGCAAAAAGTATTGCCATAATGTCCACATTCGATCAACATTTGCGTGATGACAATAGAAAAGTGGGTCTCTTCCAGCGGAGTAGAAGTTACCCAAATTCTCTGAACTGGGTTGTCTTGGGTCTCCTACCCAGACATGCGCGGCAGTGTGTGAACCACGCTCGGATGCACCTGGGCCAGGATTAGGCTCCGTTCCTTCTCTATAAGGGTTGCCCATGAAGTCCTCGGCAGTCTTGTTTCCACGAATCATTTCAGTGTACATTATTGTAAGGTTGTTGGTCACCACCTGCAGAGGGTCTGTGTTTCCAGTCATGCCTAGGTCGATGACAGCAGGGGGCAAATTGGATTGGTTACGCTTCTCATCATACAAAGCTGATTTGGGATCCACAAACATGGGTGGCATTGTCATGCCCTTCGGGTTATCCCAGTTCCAGAATGGAAGAGCGAAAGTAGGGTCCCCAATCAATTTTCCCAAGATTCTTTCATAGAAATACAGGTACCACCTGTGGAAAGGAAAGAAAAGCCAGGAGTTGTGCACTTGAAGATCCAACGTACCCTGACCTGGTTGATCATAAGCACCATTGCAATAAGCACAATGGATATTAGCTTGTTGCATGAAATTTCTTGGATCGTCTGCAGGAAGGCGTTTCATGCGATCAATGGCCATATTATACTTGAAAATATATTCAGGAGTGACTCTATGGGCCGATGGTCTAGTACGCATGTAACGAACAGGAGGGAGCCGGTAATCGATGATTCTTTGTGTTGTCGAGTTGAGATCACTCACGACAGCAAGGGGACATTCAAGGTCAATGGGCAGCGTCTAAAGCACTATTGGGGCGGCAATTTTTCAAAGGAAAAGTCTACCGTTCATCTTAGACCACCAGAATGAAGCAACACGGTAAAGTCGAGTTATTGACTATAATCTAGCGCTGCGTGGGAGGCAACCCACTGTATCCTTTTATTAGCTTACTTTTCACATTACTTTTAGAATTATTTCATTTTTGCATTTGCATTTTTCTAGGTCATCGGTCGTACATGCATGATAATTGGATTGAATTCTCATCCCCTTAATTGTCTAGGCATTACACAGATGGTCAGTGAGTTTGAAATGATTTTTGGTGTTTGGGAGTAGAGTTCACGCATTTCTAAATAAAAGAACGTTTTTATTTTCAAAAAAAAAAATAAAGAGGGAAAATTTCAAATGTTGGGGGTCACGTGACCCTGAGGACCCCTTGCCGGTCCGCCAATGGCAATCCGTATAACATAGTTCTATAATACAGTGAGAAATTCAAGAAAAATCCACCACAACGTGCTTTAATTTTTTACATTTTATAATTGAATAATTTAGGGTTTTGACGCATTGAGGTGGCAGAATAATGGGAGGTCTTTTAGATGTTGAAGAAAGCAACAATTAACCCTACTTTTTGACCAGAGCTAAATGCCGGGTCAAAAAAAGAGGCGCCACATGGCACCGCCCGGTCTTCTAGCTTTTTTCAAGCAACAATAAATGAGAAAACAGCATAGTGTTTTCCCATTTCTATGGGTCCCCCTTCACTTCAATATTTCGGAAAAAAATAAACATCCTTTTTGACTTTTTTTTAAAAAATTTCCTTTTACATAATCAATACCAGCAAAAAAAATAAAAAATGTTAGAAGAGGAGGAATCCCTCATAGAGTAATTAAAGAAGAATTTACAATCATTTAATTTGTGATATCTGCCTATTAGCATAATTTTATTTAATTTTAATTTATTAAAATTTAAGATGTATACAAAGCATCATGTTTTTTAAAGCCATTACGAGTTTTTTCCTAGCGAAAATTTAATAAAGAAATGTCTTAATATATGAAAACCGAGCTAGTCTTTTTTGAAAACCATAACACAATGATTCTTGATATATAACTGGAGATGTAAATGAATAAAGAATTTATGGTTTGATTTAGGTCAGGTTTAGAAAAAGAACTATATGGCGATTTTTGATGTTTTCTTGCAATAATTGTAGTTTCTGGTTTTGATCTCCGATGACTTTAAGGTATGTTGAGGAGAATGAAGGTTGCATTGTTTACGACGTTTTGTATACTCTCACGATCATTATTTCTAGATGGCTAGGCTTGTGTAAAGTAGGGTTTCCTAACCCACATCAACTTCACAAGCATATATGCAACTTGTGTGACGTTGGGTTTACCACACAAATATTTTAATTAAATTAGGTATATAAAAAGACGTAGATATATAGACGTTTGGTGAGAATCAAAATCAAATTTTAATGGATAATATTGATGAATCTTTATGGTTGAAAATTTGTGTATCCCATGAAATATATAATTAAAATCAGTTAAGACCATTGAGATCAGATAAGGTCACTTTAAATACATTATATAATATATTGTAAGATATGATTAATAAAATGTGGGGGATATTGTGTGGATTGTTCTCGAAAAATATCTTGTAATTGAATATAAAATTAGATAATATCTCTATCCAATATGCTTGATTAATTAAAATATTTTTAATGTTTTTCCCCTATTGTATCACTTTTTTGGACACGATTGCAAACCTCTTTAATTTCTTCCAATTATTTTATCAAACTTAAATACTTTTTATATTAAGCATTAGATCACATGGGATAAATATTTTTAAACGATATCATGTAGATGATTGCATTTATTATTCATATGGACATCCTTTTTGTCAAGGAATATATGTTTTTTGAAAAAATAGAAAAAAAATAACTTAATTTATAAGAAAGTTATATTGTACAAATAATCTTGTTTTCTGAAAAGCTATGGTGAGTAGAAATAATTTGTTAAGTTGTACTAAAATAAATGAGAGGGTGGATAGGATATATAAAAAGTCAAACAGGGTCCCATGTGACCTTGTTTATAGCATTCATATTAGAAGCATAATTTATTTTAAACCTCATCATAATATGGTAAAAAGTTACTTTGATAAATGATTTTCCCCCAAGTTGAACATATTTTAACCTTGTAGCAGCCGCATGAGAAGCACTACACTTACAGAATTTTTTTACAGAATTTATACAAGGAGACACTGTGACTGGGTGTTGCCAATATCAACTTGATGCTTATTCCAAAAAATTGCTTTTCTTGTCCCTACTATTTTAACCATTCATTCTAGGACTATGATCAACGCTTCTTTTTAAAATTATTTAATCTATTTAGCATAAATGAAAGCACAATCACTCAAATTCATCTTAGAGAGGCTTTTAACCTTGTTAGTATCTCTTCACGAGCTAGTTTTATTTTAAAGATTTATCTTGAATAGCTATGTCAATAATAGGATACATAAATTTTCATAGACTATTGACATTTCCGTTCTATGAAGTAAATTGTTTGCATATTTTTCTTCGAGTTTCATTATTATTTCTTGATGTTACCATCAATTGTAATGTATAAGTGCTTGTTTGTCAAAGTTTAAATTATAATTTAAGTTAGACAAACATATTCTTTATCCATACTTCATAAAATTCAAAATTACTATTTACTTATTATCGACGCATTTTTGTAAAACTAACAATTTATAATTATTGAAATTTTAGTTTTAAACACTCCCAAGCATGCCCTAAATTACATGTCACATATTCCGCGTGATTTGTGTATTAGTATTAAGATTATACGATATAATATCGATAATATTATAGTATTTATTTTACTCATAAATTTCATTTTTACCACTTTCTTTACAGGCAACAAATAACTAAAAAACAAATTATTAAATATATAAAAAAAAGACATCCCTTTTACAAATTTAAAAGCTATCAACAATGTAATATTATAAATAAGAGGAAGGTCCCCAGAAGTTTTTAAATAAGGTATGGTCGTGGAGATCAATTTATTTTAAAAATTATTCTTACACCTCGTGAACGCGGTTTCCAATAAAAGCAGTACAAGATTCTTTTTAGAAAAAATATATTGTTCTATAAAATATTAATAAAATTTAACAAAAATTTATTAGAAGATAACCTTTTATAATCTAAATTAATAAAGATAAAACAGCGATCCTCATGATATAACATGTGTAGACGATAACAAGAAAGAAAAATGAAAAATAAAAGGAGTTTCCACGTGCTTCTGGGTGGAATAACTTGTCCATCTATTAAAAATTTCTGCTTGATCGAATCTCTATGCATTAGGAAGATATATTGGGATATGGAGTTAGTTCAAATAGATAATGCTACAAAAATTCTATGTACATAATAGTTGAAGATGTGCTATGTTTTATGGTATTGAATGTTAAGTTGCTAAAGAAAATTAAATATCTATAATATGAATTTTCAGAAATGGGGATGCTAAGATTTTTATGTGATTGCATTACTGTAAAAGAATATAGATATAGCACTTGTGGCGTCAAAGTTACCCCTCCTCTAACCAATTTCTTCTATCTATAAGGCCATGCATTACGTGAATGATCATGCAGAAACTTAAAAGACTATTGTTATGCCTTGCCATTCCGTGAATCCAGTTGAAGACCATGGCATGGACCACTCTGAGAGTAAAGTCAACATTTAGTCAAACAATAAGTTAAAAAGGACCTGAAACTCCCTTAGTCGAAGCTTCCTCTCAATTAACCGAAGTTATCCCTTCATCCGAAACTCCCTTTGGTTGAAGCCTCTTGTTGTCTTTTAAAGGATTTGTTGGCAATTTTTAGGAATGATTGATGTAACATTTGTAATAATAAATGTCAGAACTATCAACTTAGGATATAGGGAAGTTGTTCTGTTGTCAATATATAAAATGTGTAGCAGATTGAGTGGACTTTAGCCTGGGAGATGAAACCACGTGGTTCCAATCCAACTGTAGCCACCACGATTGAAACCCTATAAATAAGGAACTCTTGTAATATTTATTCTTAATGCAACTCTTTACACAAAAAGCCATTCTTTGCCTTCTCTCTTGCTTATTTTATACTTGACTTGTTAATGATTGATTGATGATGATGATGATGATGATGATTATTATTATTATTATTATTATTATTATGCAATCGTTTTTAAATATACTATCCATATCTGAACATTTTTGCCTAGCATCATAAAGCATCTCTCACATTCATATACAGTAAACTCTTTCAACCAAGTCTCCAATCAAAACGTGCTTGAATTTGCTTGCATAGATGCGAGTGGACCCGACGTCTATTGTCCAAGTCACCTTTACAAAAACGAGATTCACAGCACTAGTTCATTATAAATTAATGAAAATATGATATAGAAAGTTTACGCATAATCTATGTGGACCTGAAAATATTATCATGTAACAGTTCTATGCACGGATCGAAGAGTAACAGTAAACTAAAAACAACTACATGTAATATTGTGATTGTGAATAATATAAATCAAGAAATATTGCAATAATTTCAAAATTAAATAGAATGTTTAAAGATTTATGCAGAAAATATCAAATTTATTAATAATAAAATTCAGATTTTTGTTTGTGGTTATCATGTTAATAAAATATCGAAAGGACAAACTCTTGAACTTCAATCTGTGGACTTAGCAAGTGGATATCCTCAACCCCAACTTTTTAAAACTTGTAGACAACACGTGTAATGCACGTCTTATGTATCGAATGGGTGATATACGTAATACTTTTGAAGTACTAATACTGTTTTTGAAACTACATGCAAAAAATTTGAACAAATGCACTAAAATGTCTTAATTTGAACAAATCCACTAAAATATAATAATGAACTAAGTAAAAGGTCAAAAAGACATTTAGGCCCGGTTTGGTACCTATTTTCTTCAAAATGCATTTTTTCTCTCTTTTTTCAACCACACATTTTTTATTAAAATAATATTACACGTAAATCAAAAACTTTTCTTTATTTTTCAACCACACATTTCTTATCAATTTACTATTTTAAAATACATTTTTACATAAAGATGGCTCTCAAACACCTCTTTAAAGCTGCAATTATTTGTGCTTTTTAAAAAAAAAAAAAAATAAATAAATAATTTAATAAAAACATACCTCACTTATGACAGAGGAATATCGTGGTGACAATATAGCCTTACAGATAGCAAACTAAGAAACTAGACTAATCAACTCACTTACGTAAAATATGACATTCCTATACGGTCCAACTGAACAAGGCCAAGAGCATGCACAGGCAAGTCATTAGTAGATGTAAAATGATGCATTAAACCTTGTGCCCCCATTTTTGCTAATGAATTCATCACTTGATTCGCTTCCTTGAACTGGCGTGAAACCTGAAAGCATAGTTATTAAAATCGGACCGGGCCGGCCGGTTAGGACCGAAAACCGCCGGACCGGAATGTGGTCCGGTCCGAGCTGATCAATTGGACTTACATGCAAGGGAACCGGGCATGAACCGGTTGGACCACTCTAAACCCGTCGGAACCGGGCGGGTTTTGGGAAAAACCGGATCCGGTTCAACATCGAACTGGACGGTCACAGTAAGTACAATGCAAAATTTTTAAATGAATGTGCCACGAGGCTGGATTCGAACCTGGGCATCCTCCCCGTTAATTCAAGCAGCTGACCACTAGGGAATTTGCTTATCTTCAATCTAGAAACTGTGGCAAATATATATAATTCATTTACATGGGAAAATAAGTATTTGAATTTGCAGCAAGCAAGATTCGAACCCTGGCTTCCACAATGACATTTTAGGCCTTTGACCACTTGGGAAACTAATGGAGCTATGTTCACTAACGTGAGCTAAAATATATGTATAGATTTAGCAAAATGTTTTTTTAATTTGTTTCAAAATATATTTTAGTTAAAATTATGATTTAACAATGACCCACTGGTTCAATCACCGATTCACCGGTTGAACCGTTGACCCAGTGACCCGGTGATTTTTCCGGGTCGATCACCGGGTCGGGTCTAATAACTATGCCTGAAAGCCTCCTATATGTGAAACCTGCATTACAATTACTTGTGCTTGGTGCACTTCTAATTATGTTTGAACTTTCAAAGGAAACTCACATTCTGAAAGAAAAAGATCCAAAATAGCTATGCTAAGTTCACATTTGTTTTGGTGGCTATTCTTTATTCATACATAAAGAGGGGGGCGGGGGGGAGGGAGAGAGAGAGAGAGAGAGAGAGGAACATTGTACATCAACATGAGAAATTCATAAACTTTTGGTATGTTTCCATGGGGTACAAATTAGAAAAATGGAAGGGATTAAAAATTGTTATTTACCCTTGTACCTTCTTCATATGAGATATTTTATCAACATTTGACGACTACTAACATGAAAATTTGAAAAATAGTTTTTGTTGATCTCTCTGAGAGTTTCATACGAGTATTATTTTGAGAGTAAATATTTTTTATGTTATGGACATTCATTATACAAAAAATATGCCTTGTTAAAAGCTTATTAGGAAAAGTTTCATCGAAAAAATCATAGTGAAGGAATAATAGTACATTGTTCTTTTAAGTGTACTATAAAAGTTGTCTAATTAAAAATTGTCAAGAAAATCCAATGAGACAAATTCATTGTCAAAAAAATAAGAGAACAACGCGTATTTATTCCTCCTCATAATAATATTACTTGAGTCATGCTTCAAGCATATTAAATCCTTCAAAATGACATTAATAGTCATACCAGATAAGTTGACCATAACGTATTTCAAATTTTATTTATTGTCAAGATAACATGATGTAGACTTATGATTTCGTCCTCCACGATCTTTATAAAATTAATTATGTTAGGAGTCATATATTACATATTACGATTTCATTTTTATCACTTCCTTTTCTCATGAGTATACATCTTTAGATTTACAGACTGCATTTTAGAAACTTCAAGTTTCTCTAGAAAATTCAATTCAATTAAAAATTACGTCCTTTTTATTTAGACAATTATTATTTCGATCGATATATTTCAATGCATTTATTTTGATTTCTCTCTATATGATGTAGTACATTATGTACAAAAGTGTTGTCAATAGCTTTTTCGTTTCGATAATATTCTTCTTTTTTTATAATGACATAACTGATTAA